AAGGACTAATGGACCACATCTACCAAGGCCTGCACCAGACTGAGTCCAGTACAGCTAGATGGTGCCCGGCTACCACCACTGACTACTCTGACTGGGATCACAACAGAGGGTCCTGGACAGAGCTGGAGAAGGATGTAGAACAAAATTCTAACACACAAAATAAAAAAGACCAGATTTAGTGGCCTGAAAGAGGCTGGAGAAATCCCGAGAGTATGGCCCCCAGACACCTTTTAGCTCGGTGATGAAGTCGCTTCCAAGGTTCACCATTCAGCTGGAGATTGGACAGCCCCATAAAACAAAATGGGACTAATGAGGCACAGCAGTCCAGGGACAAGGACTAGAAGGCAGAAGGGGAGAGGAAAGCTGGTGATAGGGAACCCAAGTTTGAGTAAGGACAGTGTTGACATGTGGTGGGGTTAACCATTGTCATAGGGCAACATGTGTACTGTTTAATGAGAAACTATTTTGTTCCTAAACCTTCATGTAAAGTGAGAATAGCAGCACAACTGGAAGAACGTAATCGATGTCACTGAATTGTGCATGTAGAAATTTTTGAAATGGTGTATCTTTGGCTATGTATATTTTCACCAAAAGAAAAACAGAAAAATGTCGAGTAGGGAGAGGGTTGACATGTAATGGGGTTGTCAACCAATGTCATAAAACTTTATGTGTAGTGACTGTTTAATGAGAAACTATTTGTTCTGTAAACCTTCACCTAAAGTACAATTAAAAAAAAAAGAACAAAAAAAAAATGAATTGTAGAAAATGAAAATGAAACTTAAAGATTTGGAAAATTCTTTTGTACAAACTTCAGACATGTGTTCAAGAATTTTCACCAAGGACATGGCTACACTACCTTTTGTTAAAGAGACTAAGCCTGTGACTGATAGATCTAACCAACTATCACGGCAGAAAACCCATCTATCAGCTTAGACTGAAGGGGACACAGATAGGACGAAAGGAAAGAAAACCGTTTGCTTGTTGGAATTCTGTAGGCAAGAAACAGGCCAAAGGAGCTACCTCTGTTGTCCCCAAGAAAAGAAAAGGACTATCCCTGAAGTAGCTTGGAGATCAGCAGAACTGTTGGAAGGAGCACAGGAAGCAGGCCTGCATGAGTTTCAATGGGTGGAGCCACGGCTTCTTATGTTTCAAAGGGTGGAGCCAAGGTCTCCTAGGTCTCAAAGGGTGGAGCCACAGCTTCATGGGCTTCAAAGGGTGGAGCCATGGCCTCTTAGGTTTCAAAGGGTGGAGTCAGTGCCTCCTAGGTTTCAAAGAGTCAGATCTCCATTGACTGGGTTCTGGAGGGTGGGGCTGCCATATTCAAAGGCCAAGAGAGTGGGGCTGCCGTGCCCAAGGAGCAGGAGAATGGAGCCTACCAGGGCTGAGCAGGTGGGGTCGCCACTCAGATGGACTAGGAGAATGGGGCCCCCCAAAACTGAGGGAGCAGAGTTGGTGTCCCAGTAGGCCTGTAAGGTGAGGCTGAAGCCCAGGGTAGAAGGGCCTACATCCAGAATCCAGAGAGTGTGGCCAACACCCAGAGTCTGGATGGCAGGGTCATTGCCCAGATGGTCCCAAATAAGAGACACTTATTTTCAAGCCTCAAGAGAGAGCTAAAATAAATTGTTCTGCCATGTTTTGGACTTGCTTGGTGCCCATTACCCCTTCTTTCCCTCCAGTTTCTACCATTTGTAATGGAAATGTCTACCTTATGCTTGTTCCACAAGTATGCCTGTACTTTGGAAGTAGGTAATTTGTATTCTAGATTTCACAGGTTCATAATGAAGAAGAATTTTGCCCCAGGATGGAATACATCTAAAGTCTCACCCATATTTGATTTAGATGATTCAGAAGATGAGATTTTAGATTTGGAGTTGATTTAAGACTTTTGGGATGATGTGATGGGGTGAATGAGTTTTGCAAGTGGGAAGGACATGAATTTTGGAGGTCCAAAGTGTGGAATGTTATGGATTGAATTGTGTCTCCCCAGAATATGTGTTATAAATCCTAAACCGTATACCTGTGATTATACTCCCATTTGGGAGCAGGTTTTCTTTGTTATACTAAGAGGCCATGGCATGACATTACTGTATACTTGGTTTATTATTTTTGTTGTTTTTTCCTTAATTTGCAAAAGTCACTTGTAAATTCTGGCCGTAGTTTTTTTTTTTTTAATTCTATATGATGCAAATATACTTTGTTAATCTGTTACTTGATGTTGAAGTTTTTATGTTAATTTTGTTTGTTTAAAATTTTTCCATCTTTTTTCTTTGCCTTCTGAATTGTGTGCCTTATATAAGAAGATCTGCCTTTTTCAATGCATTTTAATTTTTCTGCTTTTATGAATGATTAAGTGTTTTATCCTATTAAATATCTCTAAAATAGCTGATTGAACTGTAAACCAACACCCTCCCAAAAAAACCCAAAAACTCATTGCCATCAGGTCGATTTCGACTCATAGTGACCCTAGAGGACAGAGTAGAACCGCCCCATAGGGTTTCCGAGGAGTGACTGGTGGATTCTAACTGCTAACCTTTTGGTTAGCAGCCAAGCTCTTAAACACTGCACCACCAGGGCCCCAATTGAACTGTACTCCTGCTTTTTTTTATCTCCGTAGAAATTACACAAGTTTCTTACTAAAATAGAGAAAGTTTATTACTCTAGCTTTAAAAATACTACAACTATGATTTTGACATAGTCATTTTAGCAGGATGCTTTTTCCAGTGTAGTCAAAATGAGGTGAGCATTGAATATGAGCATGAACTTTAATATTTTGTGTAGATCATTATAGAGGTGCTTTAGTTGCACACCAAGCTTGCTCTCTAAGTGAATTGTAACTAAAGTGGATATGTATCTGCATTGTTCTTTGTTCAACCATGCTGATTTAAAATGTTATACAATTCGTTTAACATTTTAACTCTCATTGTTTAATAAAATAATATGTTTTAGACTGGGAAAATAAAATCTTTATTCATATAAACATATATTTTTTTCTTCATTCAGTTTTGTCAAAGGAACATGCTTCACAAGTCCTGGTTAGGAGACGCCGTGCAAATGTTCTATTTGAAGAAAGAAAAGGGGGTAATCTCGAAAGGGAATGCATTGAAGAACTGTGTAATAAAGAGGAAGCCAGGGAGATCTTTGAAAACGACCCTGAAACGGTAAGAACTCATGAAAACAATCAAATGCACATACCTAGACGTATAATTACAGAGAGAACATTTCCAGCTTGAATCTGTGTTCCCTCATTTTCTCTTTTTAAGTTAATAATTTTGTATATCACCTTGCACACATAACCACTGTGGCATTACAGGGGAAAATGCCCTCAAAGGAAAGTGGCCTTGTTCAGAAGACACTATTGCCAATAGCAATGTGCTCTGACCAAACCATCATTCACCATTATCTCATTATCAGCAACTAGTATTGACTTCATAATTTGTAAATACTTTTCTCTCAACAAGAATTTGGTAGTATTGGGGAGCATATCTAAGTCAAATGTAACACTTGTATATTTGTGTGAGTGAATGAGTGAGTGTGTGTATGTGTGTGTGTGTGTGAGAGAGAGAGATTGTGTTGCTATCACTATGATTTATTAAATGTCTCTATTGTTATTTTTAATCAAGCTTTAGAGAACAGAGCCCTCTAATCCAGAGTTTGGTACATAGTACTCAGTGAATGCTTCCTAAAGAATTCAACAGAGTATTGTGTACCCCAAGTATGTTTTAATACATCCTGAGTCAGAATTGACTCAATGGCAACAGGTATAAGCCCTTTGGAAGATTCTTGAGTCCGCTTCATATCATCAGTAATCCCTGACGCTAGAAATTTTAGCACTGTGGAATGCTAGAACAAAATTTTCCAAGTTAGTCTAGAAAAATCTCATCATGAAGACTAAATGTACAGTAATTATTAGTTCCCTAATTTTCCTAGAGAGGACGTTCTCTAGCGTGGCCTGTAGGTTGTAGGAGTACATAAAGTACCTCTAAGAATTAAGATGATGGTGACCTTGAGAATTCATCAAATCTGACAATCTTCAGGGTTACCTCAAGTATTTTTCCTGAGATGAACTACACTACCAAGTGGAGATGGGGAATAGACATAAACAAAGAACCTCCTATACTTTTGCCCTGGCTCCTGGGACCAAGAAAATACATGAGAGATAAGGATCAGGAATAATTTTTCCATAATTAGAGAACTTATCCGAGACAGTAACAACTTGAGTTCTCTGGGACTGTTCTTTAATCCTTTTTATCTCTTCCTATTCTAAAAGGTTAAAGGCAGTTTCCCAAAGATTTATTCTTAATACTTTCTGGAATTGAATCAAAAATGTTTCTCTTTCAGTTTTTTGCTTTTGTGAATAAATAATTGAGAAGGTAAAAATATTTTATTCCATACAATATGGCACAGTATTCTGATTGTATAGGAAAATATATATAGTGTAGAAATATACATATGTATACACATATCTATATATTCATTATCAATCTACATAGATCTGTATCTATATCTCTATATCTATTGTGTAGAAATACGTATTTACGTATATATGTGTATATATACACACACACATGCACACACACATATTCCTTTTTATTATAGAGATTTAAGACATATACAAAGTAGAGAAAACAATACAATAGACTCCAGTATACCCACAATTAGCCACAAACTAACAACCTACCATTCATGTTTAGCCTATTCTCTACCGCACCCATTCCAAGTTTTTGTTGTTGTTGTTTGTTTTTGCTGGACTATTTTAAGGCAAACCTGTATGCTGCAGATATTATATTACTAAACCAAACCCATTACAGTGGAGTCGATTCCGACTTATAGCGACGCTATAGGATAGAGTAGAACTGCACCATAGAGTTTCCAAGGCTGTAAATCTTTGCGGAAGCAGACTGCCATATCTTTCTTTTCCAGTGTGGCTGGTGGGTTCAAATCACTGTCCCTTATTACAGCACCCATAAATACTTGATGTATAGTGTCACCATGAGTCAGAAATTACTTGATGGCAAGGGGTTTGGTTTTTTTGTTTTGTTTTGTTTTGGTATATGTGTTTCTAACACCATATGTACATTTGTATACTTTTTTCCTCTAAGTAACAAAAGAGGAGTGAGGTAGAAGACAAAAATGGAGAAGATAAAAGACTGTAGAGAAAGAAGACTCATTTATGGGCTTCTTCCCCCCACCCCCAATTCTAACACTGGTCTCATTGACAGAAGAGAAAGAGATGACAGAGAGTGTGTTAGGCTGTTTTCTCTAGAGGAGCAAAACCAGTGAAGCATATATACAGAAATATACAGACAGAGATTTATCTCAAGGAAATGGCTCATGCAGTTGTGGAACCTGGCAAGTCCCAAATCCATGGGTCAGGCATCAGGCTGGAGGCTTCTCCTGATTTATGTGGTTGCAGGGGCTGATGAACCCAAAATCAGCAGGTCAGGCAGCAGGCTGTTGGCTCACATCCCAAGATCTGGAGCTCAGAGGATGATCAGTCAGATGCAGGATCCAGAGAGAGCTTTGCCAGAGCATCCATATATATTGGATGTAGGCCACACCCCCAAGGAAACTGATTAGCTTTCAACTGATTAGCTTTCCACTGATTGGCTTTTCAACGATTGGCTGCTCACATCAGATAACAAAATGGAGGATGATTACATAAATGCCAAACTACTGAGAATCATGGCCTAGCCAAGTTGACATATAACCTTAACCATCACAGAAGGTAGGGAAGAAATGGGAGAAATGAAAGAAAAAAACATTTGTTACTGCTGCTCAGTTTATAACTTACTGTAACTACCCCCATCCACATCCCTAATGTCTTTGTCCATATCCCCAATCATCATCACCTCTCAAAACCCCCACCCTATTACTTACCTCTCCACTGTCCCTAATATATTTCTTTCCATCACCACATCATCACCTTTGAAGCTCATTTGTTGTTTCTTTCCCTCTGGCTTTCATTCTGTAAAAGACAACACTATCGTCTGAGTAACCTGGTAGTACATCTCATCCTTATAAACCAGAAGATAATTGCTATGTAGGTTTATATGTGAGAAGAGGAAAGAGTGGGACTTTGGCTTTGTACTGGATGAAGATTTGTTCTGTATTTGCTAAGTTGGAATGTTAAGTATGTTTTTCTACGGAAACACTCTTTCTCCTGGGGTGTTCTTATGATTTTAATGCTGCACATTTGATATATTATGGCTTATGAAGGCTTTTGTGAACAAGCCTGAGAAACTTAGTATCAGAAATTTTTAACATTTTTCTCTCTTCGATAAAACACATTCCTTATTCCAGGTTACTTATTTACAGACAAACTTTTGGTATAAAACGAATTTATAAGTAAGTTATTACATGTACATAAAATGCAAAAAAAAAAATGCCCACTTTTATTCACTTCAAATTGTGTCATTATTCAACATTGAATTTTATTTATGTAATCATCATGATATAAAATGTATGTAAAAAAAAGCAACCAAACAAAACCCATTGATGTTGAGTCGATTCGGACTCATAGTGACCCTATAGGACAGAGTAGAACAGCCTTATAGGGTTTCCCAGGCTGTAAATCTTTACAGAAGCAGACTGCCATTTTCCAGTTGGTTAAGCTGAGCACTTAACCACTGTACCACCAATCATCATGATATAAAACATGTAAAGCATGTTGCTAATCATTAACTGTGGCAAAATTAAAGGATTTAAAAAAGGGAGGGGCATATATTATTGCATTCATCTTAAATAGAATCTGTTTTCAGATTAGGAGCTCTTGAAATGACTTAATTGATCAATATAATTTCAAGCCCAAACATCTTGTTAGTTTAATGTTATTGTTCATCTACTCCTAGTATATTTTATTATAGAAAAAAGTTATAATGTAGAAATGAGTTATATACAATTTATAGCATCTTTAATATAAAGACATATTATAAAATTAAATTTCAACTTTATAGCGAAATTTAAGTTTGCTAAAATATATTTTTTCTTTTTTTTTCTTTCTAGGATTATTTTTATCCAAAATACTTAGGTAAGTTCAAAGGATCTCAATCATATAATCTTAGAAGGGGCTTCAGAGATCATTGAGTCCAACCTCCACCCCTGCGTTCCATCCAATATGTTTTCATGAGCCTTGGAAATGAGATATTATTCTATATTGAATTTTGTTGTCTTTTTATTTAAAGATATGCAGACAAATTGGAATGTTTCTTTAATTCCATGTAACATTTTGACTTTTAGTCTTTTTTATTCTCATGTTTTTCTCAGAAGAGTGACTGGGCTGATGCATGGTTATATTTAGGTCTTTGTACCAGTACATTCTCTAGAAGTCTATGAGTTTTCATGGGTTAACTGTAAATGAAAGGAAAGATATGCATTTCTACACCTCTCCGTAGCTTAGACATAAACAATTATCAGTTAAATGTTTATAAAGCTCATTAATAAGCTTCTCTTTTTAGCACAGGATCTCATCATCCCCTGCAGTATTCCACCCAGGTTCTGGTTTTAGATAGTATTCTAGGTTCTCAAGGAGTGAGATAGCATTACCAGATCCAAACAGATTAGATGACTTCAACTAGGTATCAACTAAAGGTAACAGTGCTTCAGTTTGCTTTAAGCAAATACGGTCGATCCTCATTATTTGCAGATTGCATATTTGTGAATTCACTTACTTCCTAAAATTTATTTGTAACCCAAAGTCAATACTCATGGTGCTTTTATTTGCAGACTTGTGCAGACAGGCAAAAAGTTTATGTCATTTGATACACACATTTCCAACTGAGACAAAACAAAGCAATGCTTTGCCTTCTTGTTTCAACTCTCACACTGCAAAAACTGTCATTTTCACAGTCTATTTAGTGCTACATTTTTCACATTTTTAATGCTTTTTTTGGTGATTTTGCTGTTTAAAATGGCCACAAGTGTAGTGCTGAAGTGCTGTCTAGTTTTCTTAAACTCAAGAAGGCTGTGATATGCCTTACAGAGAACACGCGTGTGTTAGATCAGCTTTGTTCAGGCATGAGTTATATATAGTGTTATCGGCCATGAGTTTAATGTTAATGGCTTAACAACATGTATTAAATAAAGTTCCTTTAAACAGAAACACATATAAAACAAGGTTGTGTATTGATCTGTTGATGAAAATGTTGTGACCAGAGGCTCGCAGGAACTTAAACCTGTATTTACCATAGAGCAGTAGTTCAGTATTCATTACCTCAGTGTTCACAATGACTCTGTAGAACACAACAACCATGAATAACAACAATCAACTGCATAAAAATATTTTATATTAATGTTACCTGGGAAAGTTGTCAAGATTTCCAAGCCGTAAAGGTGAAGTTTAATATGTACATCTCTCTCTGATGGATTCTCTGTAGGTCCAGCCCATACAGATGTGCTCTTATTAGGCTCAGAATATTGCCCATCTGTACATCTCTCCACCCTACTCTCATCTCAGCCAACTTGAGACTGCAGGCCCTAGGGAAGTGAAAAGTAGCTCTTCCTTGGGCTCTGATATTTCTAAATTCTATCTCACCCTAGACATCTGAGAATTTAAATATAGTTTAGGGCTTTATTTTTGTTTTTTATTTGTTTGTTAGTTTTTGCCTTATTTTGTTTCTTAATATGCACGAAATGATTCCTGGAACCATCTGCAAACTGCTTAGGGGAATTTCTATACATGTCTTTCCGCTTTACCTAGAGAGGCTCACACTGAAATGATGCTATGTACTTAATTCATCTTTCAGGGCAATTAACAGGATAAAAACCCATGACCACTGGATAGAAGACCTTTTAGATCCAGGTGCCTTTTTTCATAGTTCCTTGAGTGATTATTCTTCCATTTAAGTGTTCAGAATCTTATTTGTGTGGCACATTCTGAACCAAGAAGACTTAGCTCTCAGCTCACCTTTTCACCAACTGCAGGACATCAGTTCAATGGCATCTTCCTTTAGAATTCCATGCCATAACTTATTTCTG